TTAATCATTAATTTTTAGTAGATCTTTATTCAATGAAAAGAAATTAAACATAACTGTTCAAAAGTATTCTAGTTTCCTTCGCATCCAGAGCACAAGTGAGACTAAGGATTCTTATAGCAAATTTCTGTAGAGTTGGAGTTGCTGCACCATAAGAATCCTACCAATTAGCTGTCAAGATAAACAAAAGGATGAATACAAGTATATGGTAGTTTATTTTACCAAAAACTATGTGTACATAGTTAATTAATATGTTTTACCTGGGATACCTTTTTTCTTGGTTTCTAATAGTTATATGCATGTCAAATAGATCATGTGCATCTTTGTATAAGGTCAACCCATCAGAGATCTTATCTTGATCCTGTTAGGGCACAAGCTTTTTAATGACTCCCATAGGCCTTTCATGATCTTCTTATCGACATGAATGTTAGGGACATAGAAAAATGCTGGATTAAAGTAAAACACAACAGCATGCAAAGGGTGATATAACTGAACATCCCATCTCTTACCAATAATCTCAAATACCTCTGAATATTTAGTTGCATGCAAAGGATTATATAAGTGAACATCCCATCTCTTACCAATAATCTCAAATACCTCTGAATATTTAGTTGCATCATCACCAAAGGCTTTTGCAATAGACTCTTTGAATCTATCCATAGCCTCATAAATAAACCCCATGGCCGACTTCCTCTCATTAGCAACAAGTTTCAAAACACGAACAAGAGGACATGTGAGCTTGAGAACACGAACAACGTTATTCCAAAAGGTAGTCATCTTAACTATCCTCTCCGCCGCTTTGCCCTTCGGATCTCTTGCCCACTTGCTTTTCACCTATTTTTCCAAGCAAAACATCTTCCTCATATTATTTTTCTGCTTATGGATGCTTAATAAAGTCAAAAATGAAGTGGCAAACCGCGTCGCTGCCAATCTAAGAAGCTCTCGAGCATTGGTTTGACCTCTCATGAACCTAAAAACCCAACCATGTGAATAAATGAATCCCGTCAACTCCTTAACACGACTCAAGGTCATCTTCATGAATGATAGTTTTCCGATATCTTTAAGCGTGAGGTTGAGACAATGAGCAGCCCACAGTGTCCAATACATATGAGGATATTCATCCATTAAGTATTTACCTATAACCACTGTTTTAAAAAATCTCCGCCTAGTCCGCTTAGGCGTACGCTTAGGTCTAGACGGTACCTAGGCCGCCTAACTAGCGTCTAGCACCTAGGCGGTATTTAGGCTGCCCACCTAGATATTACGATTAGGGGAGTATTGTCTGCTTACGTGGATTGTACCATGTAGACCTTGATTGTGATTTTATGTGTTGTAGCCTACACGTCCTCTAAACTCCATTAACCTTCAAATATGAACACCTCCACTACCTCCTCCGACCTTCAGCAAAACCTCATCGATCACCACTTGAATGAAGAAAAAAAACACTCAAAAATCGCTTAGGCGTCCGCCTAGGTGACTAAGCGCTGGGCGTCAAGTCCGACGCCTCCGACCTTTAGCAAAACCTCATCGACCACCATTTAAATGAAGAAAGGAAAAAAACGCCCAGAAACCACTTAGATGCCCGCCTAGGTGACTAAGCGCTGGGCGTCAAGTCCGACGCCTAGAAGCGCCCAGCGTTTAATGTAACATTGCCTATAACCAACAAACAAACATCTCATTAGGATTCAATCATTCAAATCCATAGAAACTAGAAAGCAAGCGATCAATATCAAACGAACTAAATCAAATCTAAAATTTCATACCGGCTAGTTTGAGACTAACATGATTGTCCGTAACGATTTGCACAACATTCTCTAGTCCTATCTTCTTAATCTCTTTATTTAAGGTCTCAAACATCCTCGCACCAGTCTTGATCTCATCGCCTCATCGGAAGCGTCAATAGAGGACAGAAATACCGTTCCGTGAGGAGAGTTCACAAGAAAATTCATCAAAGTCCTATTCCATTTTCTAAGTTAGATTGATCAGTGTACTCTTTTCTTTGATTGTCCAAATCATTTTGATATTTTATGTAGGGGTATAACACCCAATATTTTTGCCTTCTTCTGAAAGCTATAATGTTATATTTTTATTACATCATGTGTATTTGGAGATGAAAGGTGACATTCCCTAAGGAACTATGCAACCAGAACATGGTGTAGGTACTGTGAAGAGAACGTGCACGACAAATCTTATATAAATTCTGGATTGAACTTTGTCCAATTTGCAAGAATTATGCTTATGAAGAAGTCTTAGCATTTGGGTCCATAGGCATTATGATGTTCGTGAATCTGCAGAACCTAAATTAAGGATTCTATATATAGTTGAGCAAGATCATCATCTGTAACATAGCAGAGAAGTCAGTTTCAGACCTATATTTGACTATCAAGTCTGTCATATATCTAGACAATGATGCATCTTATTGAGTCTCTAACTTCAGGTTCTGGATACCATGTTTGCTTGGTAGTCTGTTAGCTTCTCATATTATATCTTGAATGCTAACAGTATACAAAGCCATTTAATTTCTATCTGTTTTTGCTTTCAGGACATTCTTCGTCTTCTCACTTTGTGGTTCAACTATGGAGCTACATCTGAGGTTCAAACGGCATTGCAGAATGGATTTTCACTTGTTAAGATAGAAATGTAGTTGGTTGTATTACCTCAAATAATTGCAAGGATCCATTCAAATAATAAAGCTGTACGAGAGCTGATTCAATAGTTGTTGGTGCGGATAGGAAGAGGATATCCACAGGTTAATTTTAATTATGTTTACATAATGAAACATGAAGCTGCTTCTGTATACTAGTTTTTTCTATAATCATTTTGCCTGTTTTTCTGCCTCTCACAGCCAATATTCTAAGAGGTGACGACTGGAGGGGGGAAAAAGAATTGCCAGTAGAAGTGAATGCAACGCTTAATTCTTGAGGATATCTAATTAACGTAAACAAATTAAAGAATGACGTATTACAAGTAACATGTTTGTCAAGTCAATTATATGTAATCATTTATCAAGCATGAAAAATGTTTAGTTCAGAGTTGAATCTCTAACCAATTGTTTTTGCGGTTTTGTTTGAACTGTGCAATACCATATGTTACAGGGAAGTGAAATCCACACTTGTATAATCTTAATTTCCCTAAGTTTATATTTTTCCTAGTCACATTTCATAAATTTTCTCACATTTCATAAATTTTCACATATACATCTTTTATGATAATGATAGTTCATATTTGAGTACTGAAAATTCTTTTCTACCTGTTGGGTTTTTTCATAAAAGTATGCAAAATATTATCCTAAAATTGAACTTAAATATTTAGATATGGTATCTCATCCTATAACTTCTCATGTAGCTACTAAGTTTCTGTATGGAAAATTTGTTTAGCAACAAAATAATATTTCTTTGTGGTTATCCAGTCATCTTAAACTTTTGGAGAAACTAATGAGGATCTCACTTTTAATAACTACTGTTAACGTTCTCAAACAGAGTCCAACCTTTTGCTCCACTAAAGAAACATAACCTACTAAATATTGTTTAAATTCATCAAATCATGGTTTAGTGGTGAAATATGGTTAGGTTTGGCTAACCTACTAAACTATGCAATTTCATATATTTGTTAAGTATATTTTTCAACTAATTAGTGATTTAGAATTAATGTTAGTGGCCACAATAATTTGGCGCACACTTCAAGTCTAATAATTATTTTTACTATATAACCGACTTTCGTATGTTCATGCATTTCATGAGCATTTGCATGTAGTTTTTTTGTGTACACATATATAATCTTATCAAACATTAACACATTATTTATATGTTATGGTAAGTCTGCTGATGAAAAAGAAAACATGTAATGAAGCTGAAAATAACCTTTGAATGTAGTTGAAATCGTTAGAGCTAAAAGTACAGAATTTTCCTAAAATAGCGAGTACTATTAGTTCAACTCAGATTTCTTCATGATATAAAGTAGATGAATGAAAAATATGGACAGCATATTGTACTATTTGATAATAAAAAATATTTCTTCTATGAACCTTAATATCATATTGTAGCCACTACAAGTTTCTAATTGTAGCTTTCATTATGAGTTACTTCAGATAGGTTTCTCTGTTTTCACTAACTGTTGTATGTACTGTTCAGTTTTTACCATCCAACTGCAGTGTCAGGTGAATATTTTTTCTGTTGACTACGTTAATCAGTTTAGCTCTTCATCAAGGGCCATTTTGAGTGTCATGCCCTTCAACTTCTCAAAGCATGCTTGCTTTTAATTGCGACTTCTTGTATGTTTTGACTCCATCTGCCTCTCTTCTTCAAGTCTTCGCTATTTTTCCCATTGGTCTCCATTGCACGTGTTCAGGACATTGCTAGTTTCCTATCCTTGATCATCTCAAGGCATATTAAATGACATCAGAATTATCTTACAGTGCTTTGTGTTATAGTAATCTGCTATTCCTGTGGAATGCTTTTGTTAGAAACTTAAAATCAACTACTTTCCAGTAACAGTATCCACGAATCAAAATATATTTGATTTTTTGTGTTCTTTACTTCCCTAATTTCTTTCCATTTTTAATTTTTTAGAGGTATAGCTTACATGAATCTTTTACTAAATCTCTCTTTCTTCCTTTGCTATTTTAGCTCTTATGTACTTTGTTTGATGGCTTTTCTTTTCAGGCTCTTATGTATCCTCTTCTGGTGGCATGCAAATCAATAAGCCAATTTCGCAGAGCTGCAGCACAGGAAGTTGTTGATAAAATTCGCCAGCACAGTGCAGCTCTTGTTGAGCAGGTGAATATCATTTGATTTTACTAATTTCCAGAATTGGACATTTCATAACAGATGATTTTTTTTCTTCTTATTCTAGACTCAACTAGTGTCAAAGGAGTTGATCAGGGTGGCCATATTATGGCATGAAATGTGGCATGAGGCTTTGGAGGAAGCAAGCCGTTTGTATTTTGGTGAACACAATATTGAAGGAATGCTTGCGGTGCTGGACCCCTTACATAATATCAAGCCGTTTGTATTTTGGTGAACACAATATTGAAGGAATGCTTGCGGTGCTGGACCCCTTACATAATATTCTTGAGGAAGGACCTGAAACATTGAAAGAGACAACCTTCATTCAGGTATCCTCTTCTTCTTCTTCTTCTTTTTTAAAGATCCAAGCTGCAGAATGTATTATCATATTATAATGAGTATTTACAATATTGTGTCCCTATAAGTTTAATTTAAGTTGATATTGCTAGTTTGTCGTTGGTATTGGATGAAAGAAAGTGTGTTCTCTAACCATTTGGCTTCTTCGTTATTAATCTTGAAACCATTTTAACTATTTAAATTTTGTATCCATGAAAAGCACTGAACTATTAAACATCGGTTTTGTTGGTATTTATCCCTCTTCCTCCTTACCAATTTAAACGGCCTTTATGATATAGCTTCTTGGAGGTTGGATCCAGAAAAGATACAAGAAAAATAATAAAAGAGAAAGACTTCAATCTTTTTTTAGAAAAAAGTAGTTATCCTTGACCCAGTTTTTTATATATTAACAGGCATATGGTCGTGAACTGTTGGAAGCTCGTGAATGTTGCTTGAAGTATAGGCGAACAGGAAAGGATGCAGAACTTACTCAGGTTTCTACCAGCTCCATGAGTGGCTTCATTTCTGACTCTTTTCCTTTTACTAAAACTTCGTCTGAAGCTTCCTCTGGATGTTTGCTTTTATTCTTAATTTCAGGCATGGGGTTTGTATTATCATGTTTTCAGGCGAATAGACAAGCAACTTCCAAGTCTTACTACCCTAGACCTACAGGCAAGATTTGCACATTTAGTTTCCAGCATATTCATTGATAATCCTTGGAATGGTTCTAAGCATTTAATTTACTTGTATTCAGTCTGTCTCTCCTGAATTGCTAAAATGTCAAGATTTAGAGCTTGCTGTAAGTCTGTCTCTCCTGAATTGCTAAAATGTCAAGATTTAGAGCTTGCTGTACGCGCAATATACCATGCAGGTAAGAATCCAAACTGCTCTTTTACTATGTATGCAGGTAGTTTTTTTTCATCATTGAACTTTCTTATTTTTGTGCATGGTTTATGATCCTTAAGTAGTTTTTTAGGCTAGATATTTCTTCTCTATGTAACTGGCAGGTACCTTTTCGCTTAACTAAAATGCTTGTGAAGGCTATGGAAGTTAGTGGTATTGAAGGTAAGTTCAGGTCAACCTGTGAAAATGTGATGCAAGTTCTGCGGACCAATAAGGATAGTGTCATGGCTATGATGGAGGTAAAGGAACCATGATTATTGCATCTTTGTTATTTTCTTTTGGTTTTAACTAGAAAGCTAGAGGCAAAGATCTGGCCTGAGGACTGAAGTCCTTGATTCTAATTAGCTAGATAGAAAACTAAAGTTCTTGATCCTGATTAAAATACATGGGAACTGTGTGTTTTTTTATGTGAGGGCATGCATAATGTAAGGATAGTTAGTTAAATATCAGTTTAACATGTTGCACTGAGATAATACGTCGTCTTAGTTATGGCTTCATCCTCTCTCAAACTTCTCACACAGCCGTTGTGTCATTGTTTGCCCAAGATAATAAGCAACACATTTAACTGGTATGCTTATAACTTTAGTTATTTGCCAGTTTTCTATAAGCATAGAGCTGCATCAAGTGGTGGAATGCTAATAACCTCGACAAACAGCAAGTTTGATCATCTCAAATAGATCTTAGGGAAATATTTTGTGAAGAATTTGTTTTAAAGAGATATATAGGGATGACTTCAATAGGATATTTCTAATTCTCTGGGACTCTTGAAGAATTTGTTTTAAAGAGATATATAGGGATGACTTCAATAGGATATTTCTAATTCTCTGGGACTCTATGATTTTGTTGCCTTCTATATCTTTAATGTAATAATTTGCATCCCTCGCCTTGTAATTTTATACGTGCTGTCAGATTGGAACCTTAAATTTTAGATTTCCATGGTACTTTGTTTTGCAAAATCTAAACCTTGGATGTGTTTGATTTCAGGCTTTCGTACACGATCCTCTTATCAATTGGAGACTGTTCAATTTTAATGAAGTTCCTCAAATGGCGAACTACGGAAACTCTCATGTTCATCATGTTGTGAACAGTGAGGAATTTGCACCTAATAGAGATCTCCCTCAACCTCTGTGTGGCGCTCGGGAGAGAGAACTGCTGCAAGGTTAGTATGCTGCCCCTTTGCTGATAATAATAACAGCAGCATCAATGCATTAATCCAATTTCTCTGATTGGTTGCATGAATTTTACTTTTTCAATCAGCCGTGTTGAGAACTATCTTGTCTTTCTTACCTGTGCCCCTTTGATGATATGAATTTTGGTATTGGTTTGTTATAGCAGTCAAAAGATTTCGATTATCCATCAGCTGTCAATCAACTTGGTGGTGCTAATTAAAAATATTTTGACTATCCATAGGCTGTCAATCAACTTGGTGATGCTAATGAGGTTTTAAATGAACAAGCGGTGGTGGTTATGGCACGGATGAGCAGTAAGCTCACTGGACCGACTTTTCTTCTGGATCATCAGTGTCAGGGGTTGCCAGTTCAATCCAGTATACTGATCACCATAGTGCCTTGATTTCTGGGGATACTCGTGAAGTTGATCATGGTCTATCTGTGAAACTTCAGGTTCAGAAGTTAATTTTACAAGCCACATCCCATGAAAATTTGTGTCAGAACTATGTTGGGTAAGCATTGGATAGAACTTTCTACCTTTATTTTGCTATCTGTCAATCTCATGCCCCTTCCAATTACTTTGGAGTAAAATTAACCGTCTAGGGAGCTTTATGAAGAATTAACTGAACATAGAAAATGTAGCGAGGAAAGAAGTACAACAGTGTAAATTTGAGCACGTGCTCCACGCCTCCACCATAAAACATAGAAATAACCTGCAGGCATTAGGTAGCTTTTTGGCTGCTAAATTTTATCAACTTGTTTACTCAAACTTATTCCCTGTATTCTCTCATCACTGGAGAGACTTTAGAGAATTCATACTTGGTGGTGCATCAAATTTTGCTTCCTTCTATAAGGAATACATGTTACTCATGTACTCACTACGACGCTATCATTGACTTTAGATCTTTTTATAATGGAAATATGCGACCATTTTTGTGACTCAGAAACACAAGATATATAAGGTGGTGTTGGACAAAAAGAAGTTCAACGATATCAATTTATACGTAAACAGAACAGTTTTATATTAAAATTTTAAAATTCTTTTAACTTCGCATTTTGAAAAAAAACTAGTGCGATTGATTCTATTACATTTTTGCAAAAGTTACATTTTGGCCCCTTGCATTCACACTCCTTTTGGTTCTCAGGTGGTGCCCATTTTGGTGAAGCTGCGTTAGAGGCTGTAAATACTGTGCATTTAATAATCTGTGTATATGTACATATGGAGTTCACCATTTCTCCTCTCTCCTGCATCCCTGTTATTGATGTAACATATCTTTATCTGAATATAAGCAGACCGCATGTTTGTAGTGATGTTGCTGTGACATACCTTCTCTGGATTAAAGTATCAATTGGCAGATAATGGAAATAAATACTTGTTTTATTGGCATCTTCGTTTTTGTTGTCAGCCCATTTAATTTTCATTGACTTCTATTTATTTTAAACGTAAGCACCGAGGCATAAGGCATAAGCTCAATGATTCAGATAAAGATATGTTGCATTTAATTTCATTTAATTTTCATTGACTTCTATTTTATTGGCATCTTCTATTTTCATTGTTATTATTTTTAATCTTTCTATAATTTTAAATATTACCTAAAGATAAATTAGGGATAAAGTTTAAGTTTTCTATTAGACAATACAATCAAATAATAAAATAATAATGTGACCAAAGGTATTGAAAATGTGAGGAAATGCATAATTAATAAAAGGTTATATCTAATTAGTGAATGATTAATTACAACTAATGATACAATTGAGAATTATCAAACTTCAAAGGGCAAAATTGGAAATCAAAAATTTTGACAAGGCAATCCTTTTTAATATGTATTGATAGATAGATATAGATATACATATATAAAGGAGTGATAAAATATGGGGATTTTTCCATATACTAGTATTTAGACCCGTGCAAAGCACGGTTTCTAAAAAAATTCTGCAAATATTGAAAATGCTACCAAAATAAAGTATTCTACTTTATATATGAAGTATAGTGGTGGAAGTGAACCGAATAATTAATAACAGTTCGGTTATTATTCGTACAGATATACGATCAAGTTCGATTTGATAGTTCATTTAGTACTAAACAAATAATTTTTAGTGTTTAGCTTATAAATGAATAAAATTTAACCGAAGGAATGTTCGATTCGGTAGTTCATTAACTATTCGATTCGATAACTTTTTAATAGAATTTAATTAAAGATATGTTGGATAATTCATTAACTATTCGATTCAGTAGTTCTATTAATTGAGCTTATTGCAAATACTACTTATATAAAATTTTATTTATAAATGCTACCCATATAAATAGGTAAGAGTGGGTTCTAGGGTTTTCACTTTTGACCTTTGCCTCTATCAGCCTTCTTCTTCTTCAGATCTGACTCTAGATCGGCTCCTCTCTCCTCTCTCTCCTCCTTCAGATCCGATTCCAAGTGTATTTTAGGGCTAGGGTTTTCACTGTTCTCCCTCGAAGCTCGTCGTCGACTCCTCCCTCGAAGCTCGTCATCCCTTGAAGCTCGTCATCCCTTGAAGCTCGTCGTCCCTCGAAGATCGTCGTTTACTCCTCCCTCGACTGTCTTCCCTCTCGAGTTATCAAAATGTAAGTTGAAGCTTAAAGTTACTATTATTCTTGATTTTTAATTTATACTAATTGCTAAAGATTACTTCTTTTTGCCTTTTTAGATAATTTTGCACAAAATCTGATCTCATCCCTTGCGGATCTGTAATTTCAATCAGCTTCATTTAATTAATGGAGTTATTTCCCACTCCTTAAACAGGAATATAATAGCCAGTGCAGATAAGAAAAGTATTATTGATTCAAAACCAATGTAAACTCAATTTTGATTGGACATTTTCAAAAACATTTGACCATTATTGATATTTTTCTGCCAAACCAATGTAAACTCAATTTTGATTGGACATTTTCAAAAACATTTGACCATTATTGATATTTTTCTGCCACATCGAAATTCAGAGAGAATGTGACAAAATTCTACGGTTATAAACTCAATCAGATTGCTAAAATGTTGAAAATGGAGGAGAAATTATATTGCTAAATTGCTGGTAATGGAAAGGAGAAATTACCTTCTTTTCATCCACCCTGGAATTTTCAACTCATGACAATTGAGTGAAGTTTGTGAGGATTATAACCATGCAGAAACTCTGAAAAAACATGCAACACAGTATGTAAATACAGTTAATTTTTATTGGCATATCTCTGATAAGGGCGAAGTCCCGGGTTAGGTTGGACCAAGGTCAATTTCCTTAACTTGATAACCTGCCATTTTAGGTTTAAATTAAGATCAGGTCAGGACCAAGACGAGTCTCTTTCTGAATATCTATCAGGTTAGGATTTCAATCTATATATTCAAACCATAAAAACTCCGGGCCAGGTTCTGGATTTTGGTCCATACATATTTATATTTCAATTTTTTGAAGATGGAATCCGAACTTAAATTCAAAGGAAAAATATGTACTTATCTGTCTGAACTTCAAAACTAATTCCATAACCCATATTCTCTCTATAATCTATATAGTCTAGTAGTCATAACTCATAATACCTTAATAAACACCTTTAAAAAATGTTTGAATATTACAAAAAACACCTTGAAACAAATTTAAAAATTACAATAAAACCCTAAAATTTTTAAAATTATAAATAGCCCCAAGAAAATCTGAAATTACAAATGACTATTGAAAATTCTCAAAATTTGAAAAAAAACAACCGAAAATTTAAAATTACAAAAAAGAACATCTGGAAATCAGAATTTTACAAGCAACCTTCTGAAAATTACAATTTTTTCCTTAAAAATTCAGAATTGCAAAAAGACTCCGTGAAACCTTTAGAAATTACAAAATAATCTAAAAATCTAAAAATTACAGCAGCACGAAATTGAGGGGGTTGTTTGTAATTTTCAGATTTTTCAAGGTGTTGTTTTGCAATTTCCAAAGTTTTAGGGTGTTTTTAGAAATTTTGAATTTTTAGCATCTTTTGTAGTTTTTTAGATCCTCAAGGGGCTGTTTGTAATTTTAAAAAATTTGGTGGTTGTAATTTTGAATTTAGGGTTTTTTTTGTAAATTTTGGATTTTAAGGTGTAAATATCAAATTTTGAAGTGGTTGCTTACACTTTTGGGAATGTTTTTTGTAATTTCCAATTATTCAGGGTGTCATTTGTATTTTTTGGATCTTTTTTTATGTTTCAGTAAAGAACCAAAAAAAATTTGAGATGCCATGTAATCATCCATTGAGTACTTAATGGTAGCCTCTCAAAAAGATTGCATTGGGCAAGCAAATATAGTTTAAGGGGGAAAATAGGCAAATTGATACTTTAGGGAGCAAGTTGAGTGTTCAACAATACTTTAAGGGGGAGTTATTCATTTTTATCCCTTTTAATTTTGTTAGATGCGATGAGAATCATGTAGCACTTCGGTTAGCAAATGTTGCGTTGAGTTTGTCGAGTTCTTGGGTGGGAATTATCCAGAGAAAATTTATCCTCCTTTATCAATCATGCTACGCAGTATGCACATCAGCTTAAAGTTTTCATCCTTCTAATTAATTAATAGTAATCATTTTCACTTATCATGTTTTGAAAATTAATAGTGTGAATGAAAGAAAAATATCAAACAAAATCTCAGAAAATATGATGCTAAATTAGCAAGTAGTCATATCAAAAGGCTGCAAATAAAAAAGATTCAAAGTTTGTATATATAAAATTTTATTATGTTATTGATAAATCTTGGTTTTGTGTTGGTTTCACAAAACCAATAACTTACTAATTGATTAAAAATTAAAATAGTAAGGCTTAATGCAAGCCGACTAAGTTTCATAGTAGCATCTTCTTCTTTAGCCATAGGAGACTTTTGCTTAATCTTATTGTAACCGTCGATGCATGTCATGTCATAATCTAGAATACCCAAATTAAAAGAAACAGTCGGATACAATTGAGACTTAAGTGCTTCAATGGCTTTCTTCAGATAATTATAGCCTTCATCGTAGGAAGAGCCGGTCCTGGGTTTTCTAAGGCCCAGAGCAAATTTTCTCAAGTGTGCCCCCTTTATACAAACTAAACAAACAAATAAATAAATTATCAATTAATTATTTTTATTAAAATTATAAGATTTTACAAAAGACAATCTTCTTTTCATTGCATTAACAGAAGGAAAAAGAGTACCCCCTGATTGTAAACATTGCATTAAAAAACAAAAACTACATATTTGAGTCTACATGCTTCCTCCCAAATCTCCGTAAGCATTTCTTGATTTGATCAATCTTCTTTTCATTCTCCACAATTAATCGAAGCAAAGAATCATCACATGTACCTACAAAATAAAAATAGCAATGAAATCTCAACTACAAAACATCACTTAAAATGTCTTCTTGTTGCACTTTTAGATGCAAAATCATCAATTATACTATCATATTTAATGTTCTCTAACATATCCTTTTTAATGCATAATATCGCTAATCCATTTAGCCTATCTTGAGTCATGGTGGTCCGCAAGTAAGATTTTAATAATTTTAATTTAGAAAAACTTCTTTCAGCAGATGCCACAGTCACAGGTATAGTCAATAATATCCTATAAGCAACCATTACATTAGGAAACATATCCACATTCTTTACAAACTCAAGAATTTTAATGGATGTCCATGGTTTACCTGTTTCATATGCTTCTTTTGGTAACATCACTTGCAACACCTGTAATTCTGAAAATAAGTCTCTTGCATCAACATCGGAAACATCACCATGTTTTAAAACATTTTCAAGATTCATACAAACTTTTTAATTCATTATCATCAAGCGAAGTCAATTTTGCAGCATCAAATAAGAACCCAAAAATAGATTCAAAACAATGCAATTGTTCAAACCTATTCTTCAATTCACCAAGAGCAATATCCACTATAACAAGAAAATAATCAGTTCTAAATGATTCTTCAGCTGATTGTTGTTCCCTATCACTATTGGAAACCTCATCAAAATGCCTTTTTCTACAAACTTGACGTTTTTTTGGAAATATAGGCTCAATTCCCATATCAAAGGAAATTTGTTTAGCATCAATCATGGCAGAAACAAACCCATTTATTCTATAGTTTTCAAAAAATAACACAAGTCCTAATTGTCTTACAGCAGCATCAAGACGCATGTCTTCAGATTGTAACTTTTTACTAAGTTAATCTTATGCAAAATGTCATGCCAAATAACCAAACTTAATATAAATTCAAAACTTGAAAGCTCTCCTGATGCTAAACTTTGAGCATCCCTACTCAATTTGGCATCTTCACTAATTTCTGTTAATTTAAATAAAGCTTCTCTAATTTGGGAAGCTTGAGATTTTATTGCTTTGACACTTTCAATGTGACTTTCCCAACGTGTAGTTGACAATGATTTCAAAGTCAAACCATCTATGTAATCAAGTAACACATTCCATCGCTTTGTTGAATTAGAGAATACCTTATATATGCATTGACATGCTCCAAAAAAAGATTTTGCTTTAACACATGAGTTGGTCATATTACAAACTATTAAGTTGAGACAATGAGAACCACATGACAATGAGAACCACATGGCATAATAAATAAGAAAAAGTTAAAAAGATATGTATTACAAATTTACAATTTAAAAAATTTATACATCTAAATTCCATATGTTATTGTAAAAAAAGTACCTTCAAAGAAAGTCGTTGCCTATCAGTCCAATCGAACCCCACGAGGTCAGAGTTGGGGCTTAATCAAGAGCATCCTGATACAAAAGTTTAGATTAAATACTGAACCATAAAATCAAAAGTTAATGAGTTTTCAAAGGAAGTTCAACATTTCAGAGCTCATACACAATTGAATAACATAAGCAAAACCTAACTGATTTAATCTCATAGGTAATAAATAAGGATATCAAGGGACTACCTTCCCAACAGAAAATTGCCAGATACAAGACTTTAATTTGAAGAGTCCATCGAGGCTTCTACAAAATATATCGAATTCTACTTGCAAACACATGTAGAAATCAATGAGAGAGATTCCAAAAACTTCAAGCAGTTTCCCCAATTCAATCTATTACTCTGAAAATAAAGAATTTCAAAGAAATTTGAGAAATAGTGAAATATCCAAATGGAGAATCATGAAGAAATCTGAAAATCCAGTATCAAGGAGCGACCTTGGCGCAATACAAACCGTCGAATAATTTTAGGGAGGGGAGGGGGGGGGGATCGAGAGGAGAATCTAGTAAAGGAAGAGATGAGGTGAAGAAGAGGCGGTGGGTTGATGGGAAATTAGCAGAGCCGGCCTAGCCTCCTAGGGGTAGGGGTGAAGAAGACTAAGAGGCAATGACAACTTGCTATGAGTTGTAAACTTGTAATCACTAATCGCTATCGTGAGGTACATTTACGAATGGATGTTAATGTTAGTTCACCCCATAGTTTGCTCACCCACCCCTAGTGCCCCCCTCAGTTGTGGGCCCCGGGCTGTAGCCCTGGTGGCCCTACCCCTAGGCCGGCTCTGATCGTAGGTTCCTTTTTTTTCTCCAGAAAAGAAGAACCTCTTAGCTCTCATTGGACACACTCTTACTGTTCATAAGCTCATTGATCTTGCCAAGATTGTGTGTAACTTTGATGTTTTCTAGGCTGACTGCTATAGTAGCATGACCTGATAAATAAATATATAAATTTAATACTACATCTGCAATTATCCATAAAATTAATATGCAGTCAGAAAAAGTGAATTCTGAAAAAAGAGAACAAAGAATTACTATCACCAAAAGTGTCGGCGTTAATGCTTCCTGGATCAAACTGAAGTGTTGTCGTGCAGAAGTTGAAGTTTTGTAGTAGAGTTATACAGAGCTACTGCTTGCTTGCATTTTTCTTCAAGAATAACATCAACTGATAACAGGTTCAGGAGGAGTACAACAACCATGGGAGAGAAATGCCTTCATTACTTGAGAGGGTGGCATTAACTGACTGTAGTTTTATTTTAGATGAAACCTATATAATAGTTATATAATGCAGGAGAGAATCTTCTTTTGGTATCTAATTAATGGATAGGTTCATAATTTGCAAGTAAAAAAATGGGTATCTAATGCGTTGTCAGCATTCAACAAATTGTTTGAACCAAATAAGAGCAATTTCCCTCCTATTAATACTTACCTATGATGTCAATTTCTCTTGCCTGGTCAACATTTCATATATAGGCATGTCCATATTTGCGAAGTAAATTAATGTGGACCTGTTAGCTCATTACGCCCCGATACCAGATGAACTTGTGGTTTTTCTCCGTAAGGATTCTGTTTCTTCTCTAAATTTTGCCATGTCCAATCCCTAAAGTTCGTTTTTGTGTTTATTGTCTTCTCTAGGCTTCTTAATTATTGTTAGACTATCATGATTTATTCTATGTTCTTGATTACTTTATTTCAGTAATATATGTAGATTTTCTTATTATTCTTGATTACTTTATTTCAGATAATGCAAGAGCTGATATAGCTTATATGGTGAAACTTGCGTATATGGCTAAGCTAGAAGAACAAGTGAATATGGTAGACCTTGCTACTCAAATTAATGCTGAGATCGAGTTACTTTCTAATAAAGTATAGATGACGGTGATATGACCCTAATCTTTTAATGTTTTCTTAGTTTTTAATCAAGTTCTTTAGATCTATTTCGAGTAATTAATTTACATTCCAAGTGTCTAACATTTTCTAACTGTACTTTTTCATCTCTCTATGCATAAAAATCAGGATATTTTACCAGATCCATACTTTTCTAGAAGAGCTAATCCTCCCTCGCAGCCGTCTGGTGGTTGGCTGAAGAAAGTCTTTAATTTCAAAAAGTCATCTCCCCAAAGTAACTCCTTCTGTATGGGTTAATGTGATTTTTCATGAGTAAATATTCTTCTAATGATGCTTTGTATATTTAAATTATGATATGCAAAATGAAATGGACACTAGTGAATTCATATCTATCTGTATCTGGCAGGCTACAAATACCTATATTAAATATCTATATCCAAGTAGATACGGATATGGATACAAACATCATTTAAATAATTTTTAAAGGCAAGGGTATAGTTATGGACATACCTAAAACCATCTAAGCTGAAAGTGGATCCTAATATCTATTTACCCAGGAAGTAAAACAGTTTCAGACTTCAATTAGTGGATCTGAAACCTATTTCCATGACCTGAGATTTAGATCTTAAATTTTAGGCTTTTTAATGTATTGGTGAAATAAATTATATTTAGACAATTCTTTATTATATAATCCGTATGCTCTTGAGTTATCAATTTCTCCTCTCATCCAAGCAATATGTATATTCATATTCAACGTTGATGGATGAGAATGCATCATTTTGATGACATGTGAAGTGCGACTTAGACTGAAGATTATGCTTCTACACTTGTTCTCTATTAACAAGTGTTATTCTGAAGAAAATAATCCAGTCATTAATCAGCTACATTATGCCTTGGCTATAATGCACCAATGACAATTCAGTCATTAATTACCTACGGATGTGAATGCATCATTTTAATCACTCAATTATGTCTACTTTCTGTCAAAGAGAGAAAGAGATGAAAACTTATGTCAACTTAAGTGGACAAAATGCCTTTGTCCACCAAACTTTCTGTCCACTCATATATATATCTTGCATGGATCCCTAAGTATCGTTAACGGATAGAAAGTTTGGTGGATGATCCACTTACGTTGACATAAGAATTTCTCTCTTTATATATATATATATGTGTGTGTGTGTGAAAACTTGTGTCAACTTAAGTAGATAGGAAATAGTTGTCCACCAAACTTTTTATCCATGGATCTTGCCTAGGGATCCTTGCATGATATGAAGAGATTTTTTATATTAATAAATGAGTGGCTAAAAAGTTTGGTGGACAACTATTCCCTATCCACTTAAGTTGATAGGAGTCTTGCTCTCTCTCTCTCTCTCTCTCTCGATATATATATATATATATATATATATATATATATATATATATATATATATATATATATATATATATATATATATATATATATATATATATATATATATATATATATATATATATATATATATATAT